GGTCTCATTGAGACAACAATTAGGGAGGGGTCTTATGTGGCTATCGTGTGCAAACCTTTTGTTTGACCATTCATATAATTTAATTTTGCACTTGCTTTTTCACTAAAGCAGTCACCAGCAGAGAGAATGAGCTTGTCAACAGTATCTACCTTATAGCCAGCAGAAGTAGCTACCGAATGCATGAAAAGACCGAGTGAGTCAAAAAGCATGAATTCAGAAGGCGTTGAAAAAAAGGAAAAACTGATATTTCTTGGTACCAACACTCGAGCGGCAAAATCGTTCAAAGGCGCTGTATTTGTGGTGGATGTATGTGGTGAATTATAGGGATGTCACGACTTAACATATACTGCCTCGAGGAGAGTTTAATAATATTTTCTTGGATTCTGAAATCTGCAGATTTGTTGCATCCTTTCATAGTTCGTTCCCAACACTTGCAAAAATGCACCACTCTCCGATTTGCACAACTCCAAATGAAGTGACCATAATCGACCACGAGTACCATCGCCTTGTTTATGTACGTTTTCCAAACATGCAGAGCAAGCTTCGGGGAATGTTACCCATTTTTAATTAGCCCCTCGCCAAAGGAAGCAGCATTTCAGCCAAGCATCAGAGGCTTAGCACTTTTGCAGCCTATCTCTGTGGGATTCGTCTTGGGGACCGTCAGGTCCTGAACGGATTTCGTTGCAGCAAAATGGACACATACGAAAAACTGGAAGTACACCCGGACATGCCACCGCCGCCTCCACCAGACCTCCCTCCACCACCGGAGAAATCTGCGCCATTGATGCCTCCAATGAAAGAACATAATGAAAAATTTAATGAACATGATCTTAAACCACTGCGGTGAGTTAAATAAAACATAGAAAACTTTACTCAAATGAAACCGTTTTTCACAGTGCTGGCGATGATGTAAATCTCTCTGATACTCCTAAACGTCCACTGTTACCGAAGAAAGCACCACCTGCTAAACCCATAAAATGTATGTGATCTATTGAAAACTTGAATCCAAGAACGAGCGCAATTCAGCAAACCCCAAAAGCAACAAAAAGGGTAACAAAAAGAGTTCAAGACCTACTGGTGGAAAATCCGCAACAAGCAAATCGAGATCATCACAGTCTAGTTCGAATCCGAAATCGGTTCGTATGCTTCTTTCAGTCATGAACAAATGAAGTTCTTTTCAGAATGCTCAAATAATTTTGCTTATGTCTATTGGGGTTTCTCTGGCTTTCGCCTTAATATTCATGTTTATGACTATATTTGGTCTCTTGCATTTAGTTGGAGTTTTGAAAGTCATTGAAGAATTCAATCCGACTATGTGCTCGTAAGATGTTGGGTCAGAAGATGAACATATATGATTACAATCGACGTATCACCTTTCTTTGAAACTACGTCCTTCTAAACAATCCTGTAATAAAGAAGTT